AATTAACTAATTTGAAACTGTAAATTTTCTCTAGAAAATTAACTATTGTGATACAGAGGGAGTATAAAGAAAATAGGTCTCTCTACTAATTTTTATTTGGTTTTTAGTTGGAACATGTAAAACTTAATATTGAATAACCTAAATTCCATAACTAATATAAAAATAATACTATATTAGAGATAATGGTTATTTTCCTATTCTCGGATATTCTTCTAGATTTGTCCATAATCTTGATTAACATCTTGATCTTTCGATTCTGGTCAATCTCGAACTCTCAATCTTCCAATACCCCCGACAAGCTTATACATGGTAACACGGGTGAGATTGGATATGTCATCAAAATATTGGCATTATACCCTAACGACGGTTAAACCTATAGGATCAAGTATCAGCTGCAACCTCCCGTCGTAGGATCAAATCGACGTTTATATCCGATCATAGATTCAAATCGACTACAACACCCGACCGTAAGGGCATCTTATACTGAGTCATAAAATTTAACGGCTTTTACACCTTCTCATAGGATCATCGCCAGGGGCAGAGGCACATTGGTAAAGGGTGGGGCAGTTGCCCCGGATGAAAATTTTTTTTACGGTGTATTTTTGATCGGAAAAAAATTTATGCCCCTTCATATTTTTGTTTTTGTATACTATGCCCCCCATGAAAAATGGTTCTAGATCCGCCATCGCTAGAAGATATATCATCGTATTAGAATATTTTTATTGTCTCAATCACCGGATCAACACGTATATGTCGGAATCATCTCTATAATCATTCTAGTAACCATATTCATCATCCAGAAGATCGTATGAGGAGACCAGCATCGGCATCGTCATGGTCTAACCCAAGGTTAAAAGAAAATGATGAAATCATGGTGTTGTCCCTAATATGTAGGTTCATAATCTTCAACACCATGGATATCATCATGTGCTTAAGCAGCATCATATCATCGAACAAACCTAATATGTAGGTTCATGTTCATTATTCGGTGCCTTGTTCTTCAAGAAATGTCAGCTTTTTACCTCTACTACCACACCAAAAGCATATGTTGGAGGCGTTCATCAATACGGCCAGATCAAAATACATCAAAGCCAAGTAAAAAAAAAAAACAGATATGAAAGGGAAACAAAAAAAGAATGGAAAGTAGTTTGATGGTGTCCTTAACTGATGGATTGTGATCGTGTTTATGTCTCCATTGATTTAGTTTAGGAGTTACAGTTTGGTTTGTTTTGGAGTTACACTGTATACTTCCATGGATCTAGTGGAACCGGTTGCACACCACTTGTTTGATGAAATGTCTCTGGGAAGATAAACTAACAAGCTGATCGTTGATTAGTCTCGTTATATTGCCTAATTACAAAGGTTATATACAAATTGCAGAGATTATGATGCCTACTTACAGACACCGTGACCAAGCTCTTAGCTTCGAGTGACATAAAATCAACGATACAAACTCTATACCCCTAAACACTTTTCAGATTTGTTGAAATGATATGTAAACTTGTATTGTTTTTATCTTTTAAAGTTTTTGTAGATTTCTAATTGTTATTCTTTCAACAATTTGACATAAATGAATTATATGTCATTCCTCTTTGAATGGATAGTAGTCTCTCCACCAATAAGTATTAGAGCATCATTATCCATGAGCTTTTAAGAGTATCATGGGCTAGATAATAATAAAAAACTGATTTTTGGGATTAATTTTGGCTGAAACGTCTCTGCAGAGTGAGACTATTGAGACCGGATCAAAAGGCCACGTGTCGCAATGTGAGTGGACAAAAAAAAATCAGATGTGTTGTTCATCGCGGTTCTCTTCTCTCTCTTGTTCCTCGACGAAATTTCTTCGGATTACCATCTTTGCTCAATTCCCAAGTGATCGGAGAAACGAAGGGTTTCCTCATTCTATCATCTTCAACCATCTCTGTCTTTTTCGGAGAAGTCCAATTCCTTCAAAGCTTTGAAATTGAAGCAGAGCGTTGGGCTCACACGGCGGATTGAGCATCGACCTTTCATTATCTGATGTGAAGCTTCTTCTAATGGAAGGGTAAAGTCTGAAACTTTAGCTCTTATTCGCTTTATATTGGATTCACGAATCTGGAATTGGTACAAATAGTCTCAAGGGTTTTGATGTGGTGGATTGCTAATTGTGTTTGGTGTTTTGTTTGCTTGTATAGCTTACACAGCAAGAATTCAATCGATAATTTCGTCACCAGATGTTGCGAAAGAGAACAAGCAATAGATTGTGGAAATAGAGCATCTAATGAAAGCTCTGTTGGAGCAGAAGAATGGTTTAGCTCGCAGGAACAAAGTTGATTGTGTGCACTTTATAGCTAATGTTTAGGAGTGTTTTGTGTCAAATTCTTGAATAGTTCTTAGAACTGCTTGGAATATCGGGAAAGATGGAATCGAAGCTGGAACCAATCTTGTGCCTRTGAGCTCTCTTAGTCTTTGTCTTGACKGATTCATACTCATTAATGGTTTTAGTCRCACTTAGTTATGTTGATTATCCCTTTTTTGTGTTAAGGTTTMTGTGCCTAGACCAGTTGCTAGGATCTTAGTGACTTGTTTGGATTTGTTTAGGGTTGTAATGACTAGTGGATCCTTATGATAACTTGTTCTCGCCGCCTAAAGAAGGCTCTTTTAACTTAATCTTTGCTTGTTTTGCATCGTTGACTTGAGTTATGTTGTGTGTTACTTGTTTATATGTGCAAGGTTTGGTAGTAGTTTTGGTTCTTCTTTGGTTTAACTGCATGTGATACATTGAGTGTATGAAGAAAGTTTGTGACAACAATGGTGAAGATCCTACATGCAGCTGGAACTAACTCTCTTTCAGGTATCTATTTGATCACTCTTGGACAACTTGCTGATATACCTTCACTACTAAGAACAAAGTTGCAGATAGAAACTTAGGATCATTGTTGTATTGGTCAGAAATTGTTACAACAGGAAAGATTCAATGGAAAGTTATAGGTTTAAAGTTTGGATTTAAGGTTTTATAAAATCTTGTATATTTATAAATACTA